CACACACACACACACACACACACACACACACACACACACACACACACGGACGCTCTCCTGCCTGTTTGTCAGCTCTGCTGACTGCAGGAAGCAATAATGGTGGGTTGCTTCCGGAGTTCCGGAGGCTTCTCTCAGGGGAGTGTGGCCGTCCTGTCGAGCTCAGCAGAGCAGCGCTGAAAAGAACACAGCAGAGCAGAAAACCATAGAACATTGTGAACAGAATTAAGCACAATGGAAAGGGCACGGCGTTGCCAGACTGGAACAAACTCTGCAAAAAAAAGACAAAAAAGGAAGAAACATCTCTCAGAACTGAGCATTAAAGATATTCTTCTCTTGAAGAGAAAGGCGGAAAATGCTTTCTACCAGATGGGGACATTTTTTAGTGAAAAAGGTTAAAAAAAAAAGGAAGGTTTCGCTGTGTGGGATTGTTCCTCATAGGCTACCGTAGGAGGAGCCGTGGCAGATGAGACCTATGACTTTTATGGATAAGAAGTTCGGTCCTAAGTTTAAAATAAGGACTGAAGTTGATTCTACAGTAAGGTACAGGTAGGCATACGTAGACATACGTACACACTGAAGCTTCACTTATCTGGACACACCCCCCCCAACTCCAACTATCTGCCCACTCCTTCCCAATCCAGCACTGGCCTGATACCCCGTGTAACTCTGCATGGGCATTAGTGATGTTTAGATGTGACCCTGGACTGTAGCTACGCTCACACAGAGGCCGCTGAATGCCAAGTGAGCAACACAGCTCTGATGAGTAAGAGCTGGTTGATCAGCAGCGCGTAGAGCCGCTAACTGCACTCAAATGATGGCACATGATACGGATAGTGCAGCCGGGAGGTTAACGGGCATCGGCCGGACGGCAGCGACTCAGTCTGAGTTTGTCAGAGCTCCTGTCACCTCTGAGAACCTCAGGTTCTGGTCTCCTGCTGGGGCCCAGAGTCAGAACTAAACAAGGCGAGGCTTCATTTCAGCTCCCTGCTTCTAAAATCTGGATCAGTCTTCCTGGAGATTAGAGATGGGCCCCAAATCCAGGCTGGAAATGCTTCTGTTTAACTGTGCATATGGAAATTGAATGCATTTTATTTGCACCCTTCACCTTTTCTCTATGTAATTTTTTTTATTTTTCTTGTTTTTTTGCTTTTAAATTCTTGAAGCACTTTGATTTGTCTTGTACACCAAATGTGCTGTAAAATAAACTTGCCTTGCCTATAAAGTGACATCCTAATAAATTATAAACACTGTACACGGCACACAAATTTGGTCGTGAGCCACATTTGCTCTTGTTGTGGATGTTGATCCTGTCTTGGAAAGAAGAAATCCCAGACAGCAGCGGGGGTATTTTCATGACCAGGAAAATGCAGCATCTCAAGATTACAGCAAGAGGGGCACAGAAGCCATTTTAAAGGCTCATGACATCCAACACAACTTCAGGAACTGAAAACACTGCTACGCCCGCCAAAAAAGGGAGGGGAATTCCACAAGTCTCTTTAAAAGTTTCTACATTTAAATCGCGTTAACTGTAACTTCTGTTGTCAGGAAACATGCAGTCACGTTTGAATGCATCAAAAATGAAGCAGCTTCAAACTGAGATGTGTGCTGTTCCATCATCTCCCAGCCAATCGTGAGCCGCTTGATGATGGACTGATTGAAAACGCTGTGGAAACGAATTAGGTGGCAGATTTTAAATTGGGTTTCAAATGTCCCCCATCTCTGTAAATAGGGGATCAAGTCACCTTTGGAATCATAAACCTTTTAGAAGACATTTAAAACATACTTGGCATGAATCTGTTTTCTGCTTTAATTGTAAGGGAACTTCTAGGACTGCTGTGTGCTCTCTAAATCCTATAGTAGGGAGTGTTTGCCGACTCAGGCATTCTTTCCTCCTGAAGCACTCACTTTCTGCAGCGTGTACGGGCTTGCGTTGGTGCCTTTTCCCCTTCGCAAGGCATGTGGGAGAAAAGGACAGAATTTCATAGTGCATGTTGGCCCGCTGTATACCTTAAAGATGTGTTTTTGTCTGGTAGTGTGTCAGCTCCGTGCAACGCCGCACAGCTCAGACCTTTCCCTCCCCGTCTTCCTGCTCTCGCTCATCTCTCTGCCCTCTGGGCTCTGCCTTTTGCCGTTGCAGACCCTGGTAAGAGCGTGATGAGCGCGCGCTTCCGCTTGCCTGCTGGCAGATCCTACAATGTCCGGGCGACGGAGCTGGAGCGAGACAGGCAGCACACACAGGTTGTGTGCAACGTACTGCTGCTGGACAACACCGTCCAGGCATTCAAAGTCAATGTAAGTACCACCTCTCACTTCCTTTTCATCTCCGTTGGCCCGAGCTATGAGGACAAAGGAATTGTTTATATGTTAGATATCAGTATCAATAGATTTTCCCACCATTTATCATGCACCATCTCACAGTTGCCCTGTAGGTAAACCCCCTGAGTCATTCCAGTGTGACTAAAGAAAAAATGAATCTGATCGTTTGCCAAGCACATTTCTCACATCTCACCATATTTACATCTTCATTAAGTCAGAAAGGGAGGCCTTAGATTGATCACTTATTACCAGCAGTCTGCCTCTACCTCTTCCATCGCTACACATATCCACACAGACCCACTTCCTACAGATGTGAGACGTGGTGGGCGGGAACCCTGCCTGCTTAGCCTTTGAGGCAGACATGTAAGAACAGCCCACGCCCTTCTTTCCCCCTTTTTACTCTGGTGCTATTTTTCTTACACAAATCTATTAGCTTCCTTTATTCTGAGTTTTATATGAGGGGTCTTTATCAAACTTGGCGAGCAGTCAGTCGTCTGCAGGAACACATAGCTGAGCGAGAGGCAGTGTGTGTGTGTGTGTGTGTGTGTGTGTGTGTGTGTGTGTGTGGGTGTGTGTTACACGTGCTCCGGACCGGGTCACCGGCCGGCTTGTGACTGACAGTATGTTCGTTAGTCACGTCTCTGCCCCCGTCACCATGTGTTCAGTCCAAAGCAAGACTGCATGAGCCGGAACGTTCCGTTTGCGCGGCAGAAGATACAATTCTTCGATTAACATTGTTTTCTGAAAGACCACATCCTGTTGCTGTTGAGGTCGTACTGTGTGCGCATTTGTAAATCTCTAGAAATGTGTTAGATGTAAATCATTGCTCTTTAGTGACCTGCACACGTTTAATTTTTGCTGCTCTAAAAGAGTGCTTTGCTCTAAGAAATGACTCAATAATTGTAAAAGGAACATAGTGCTTTAATTTGTTAAATCGTTTGAAGCTTTATTTGACATGATAGTACAACGGAAGTGATGATTTTTTGTGTTCTGATCAACGTTTTGTAAAAACACAGCAGCACAGCAGCGTCTCCAGATCGTTGAGCTCATTTGATGTCAGCCCCCCACAGTCCTCATCGTCTCAGATGAGTTTATGCTCAGAACTCTAATAATAATACATGGCTCTCTTCCTACACTTTCAGGCTGTGTGGTCACTTCTAAGCCAATGCAACAGTACCGACCACTTTTACATATGTACCTTTTCAAATTTGTTATTTAAACTGTCCTGTTGTGTGTGTGTGTGTGTGTATGTGAATATATATATATACTGTCTATATATATATATATATATATTTACTCCCACCATCCAAAAACCTGCATGTGAGGTTGGTAGGTTGGTGTGTGGTTGTGTGTCTCTGTGTGGCCCTGTGATGGACTGGCTGACCGTCCAGGGTGACCCCACCTCTCGCCCATTGACCACTGGGATAGGCTTGAGTTATGTGTGTGTATATATGTATATATATATATATATATATATATATATATATATGTATATATATATGTATATATATATATGTGTTGGCCAGTAATATCTAATTCTGATTATTCCAGTTGATTCTCTTGTAGTACTAGACAGAACATGAGAAGTATTGGCATAGATGTATGAGGTGAACATATCCAAGACTTTTGCCGAAGGTTCACACAACTTGTTTGTGTTTAGGAGGTATGCTTGGCCTGCTCCCCCCTATAGATTCAGCTCAGCGCTGGGGACATATGGCCTCGGGAGTGATGATGACAGCAAAATGGATCATTAGCCTATGGCACACCACCTTATGATCCAACCAGGTGTTTATGATGTAATCAGCTCAAGTTCTTATTTTTAAACCTCGTCCTGTTCAGCATTATGGCAGCAGAACAGAAATCTGCGTACCGAGCTCTGCCGAACATATTAGCTTTGTCAGAGAGGCTCAAAGGGTAAAAAGCCCCCCTAGATTATCCAATAACTCTTTATTTATTTTAGTTTTAGTTTTGTTACAAAGCTTTACATGTATCCAGTTACTCCAAATCAGACACAGGGTAGCAGGAAGAGCAAAAAGAAACAAACTACAAAGAGAAAGATCCTTTAGACAGACGAAAGATAACAAAACCATACAACCAGCTGCTATGTCTGTCAAAGACAAAAAAAACCTCCTGTGGTGTCTTGTGGCCAATCCAGATGCAGAACCTTTAGGAGCACCTGCAAACGGACATAGGGAAGACAAAAAAAAAACAAGCAGCAAAACCCAAAGGCAGCAAACAACTCTGGTAGCAAGGACATTAACACGCATCTCCGAAAGGTGCAGCAACTTTAAAGAGGCTTAAAGAGGTGTGTGTCTGGGTAAACGTGTGTGTGTGTGCGTAAACTAGCAAGCCACGCAGCCCAGGTTTCACTCAGACTGCGCTCAGTTATGCGTGCAGAGGGGCCAGCGCTCCCAAGAAGGCAGAGAGGGCCCCTAGACCCAGTCCACCGGCAGCCACCCTGGAGCCCAGAACCCAGGAAGACCACCATACAGACAACGAGACATCCACCCACAAGCCCACAGAGGAAGCCCCCCCAGCAGAGCCCCCCACAGCTGTAGGGCCGAGGCCCCCTGAGAACCATGAGCGACAGCACACCGGCCCCACCAGGCCCCGTCCCCGTCCCCCAGCGGGCCAGTAATCAGCTCACCTCGGAATCAGAGATACCATTCCTCCCAATCAGATCATTGGCCTGGAGGTCCCCCAGGTGGAGCCATAAGGGACTAGGCTGGGTAATGGGAGCTGCTGGTAACCAGGACCGTCCCTCCTGCTGGTTGCAGCTGAGGTGACGTAACCCTGTTGCTGACCGGGAAGAACTTAGGGAGATTTTTGTAGCTACAATGACATTTGTCAGCCAAGACACTGAAAGTAGTTTGTCATTATCTCTGCTAATAAAGGTTAAAACAATTCAATCAATTATAGTCTAGAGTTGTAGGTTTTAGTACCTCCCATCTGTTTGTGGAAAACGGTATCTGAAGATAGAGCCCTCCCTTCAGCTTCCCACTTCTGTCTGCCACAGAGTTCCCCTATTGGAGTCTCTTCCTGCAAATTGCTGAATGAATGACTTGGTCTGAGTCGGTCTCAGTGTCATTGATCAGACCCTTACAGCAGCACTAACTTCCTGGAAAGGCAAGCCATTCTGAGAGCAACAATACTTCTATTGATCCTCTCTCTGGCAGACTGGCTGTGACTCTAGTGGAGAGTGAAAATCCCAAAGCAGACATTTACTGTCATGGAAACCACGCATACGAGTTTTAAAATGACGATCCTATTGATATGGAGTCTTTAGTTGAGATAATTCTGTTAAGCTGAATTTGGAGAAGCCTGGAAGCGTTAAAATGACCATAAATTATGAATAAATAAATGATATCTCACTCCACTGAAACAAAAACTGGGTCAGCGGCAGTTTATTCATATTAAATGAGGAGGTTTCTTTTAGTTAAGACTTGAACAAATAAGTTTAGAAAATGATTTATAATCCTTTGGCAGTTGTATTTTAGTGCAAAGTGAGACAGTGACATGGCCAAATAGGTCACACCTTTACGCATTTTCAATAGCCGTAGTCATTTATTGATAGCTTATGGTATCCTCCCATGCGTTGTAGACCCCAGTTGAATTGCCAGTAGCTGTAACCGGAGATATCCCTCCATCTTTATGTTTGCTACAATTCCTGATGTACAGATTCAGTCAGCTCACCCAAAAGAGTAACTGTTTATCCTTTTAATGGTTTCAGTTTCTGCAGTGTCACTTCAACTTCTGGTAACTTATGAGAGTGTTTTGTTTCTACGATCTCTTGGATTTAAATGACATTT